ATAAGTTCTCTCAGCTCTCTTTATTACAATATATACTCATCCGAATAGGTAACCCTAGCTATATGAACCTCAAGGTAGGGCTGGTATAGGCCCACAACAAGAGAAAAAGTATCGGGTTCGGCCTCAAGTAGCTGGGCTCAACAACTCCTCCCCTCTTAAGAACAGGCTTGTCCTCAGGCCATGAATTCAAGGTAATGAGCCAAGATGTCGTTTGCTTCCTCCCAAGTGGCATCTGCGGTGGGTAGGCCAGCCCATTTGATCAACCATTTTGTAACAGCTCTATTTTTCTTCTTGAATATGCCACGGTCTAGCACCTTTTTTGGTTGCCATTGCAGAACTCCAGTGGAGTCAATAGGAGGCAAGTATTAGAGTGGAGAAGAATCACTGCTGAGTTTTGGTTTGAGGAGGGACACATGGAAAACGGGGTGGATCCTGGAGTCTAAAGGTAAGCGAAGTTGATATGCCACTGAGCCAATGCACTTTGTTCTCTGGAATAAGCCATAGAATTTGGGAGATATCTTGTGTGTTGTTCGAGTAGTTACCGAGTGTTGGCGGTATGGTTGAAGTTTTAAGTTAAACTCCCGCTCAGTTCGCTTGCTATCATAAACTTGTTTAATCCTGTTCTGGGTAAGTTGCAAGTTGGCTCACAGGAGGCTTATTAACTTATCTCAGTCTTGTAGTGCCTCATCAACCGATTGAACGCCGTGGACCTAGGCATATACATGCGAATGGTTGGTGGTTCAATGCCATAAACCGCTTGGTACAGAGACATTTTAATGGTAAATTGGAAACTTGTGTTATACCACCATTCAGCCTAAGGAAAGAGAGATGACCATTTGGTGGGTTTATCACTGGAGAAGCAGCGAAGGTAATGTTCCAAGGTGCGGTTGAGGACTTCTGTTTGCTTATCGGTTTAAGGGTGGTAAGATGAACTTGAGCAAAGTTTACTGCCTTGGATTTTAAAGAACTCTTGCCAAAAGTTGCTGATGAAAATTGGGTCGTAGTTCGAGATGATCAACTTAGGCATGTTATGAAGTTTGAAAACCTCATTGATGAAAGTGTTGGCGACCGAAGCACTTGTGTAAGGGTGCTTTAAGGGGATGAAATGGCCATATTTCGATAGACGATTAACAACAACAAAGATTACAGTGTGCTCGTTGAAGGGGGGAGTCATTCGACAAAGTCCATTGCTATATCTTGCCAAACACCTGTGGGAATGGGCAGAGGTTGTAACAACCCGGGAGGATGTATATTCTCGATGTTTTGGCGCTAATATTCCGTGCATTTTGCCACAAACTGCTTTGTTTCTTTTCTAATTCTAGGCCATAGAAAATTTCGGGATAATCGTTTGTAAGTACATAAGAAGACCGAGTGTCCCCCTTGGAGCGAAGCATGGAATTCTTGTAATAATTTAGGCCACCATTAGGATGTGAGTGGAACAAAGATCCCTTGTTTGTAGTGCAAGATGTCATTTACAAGAGAGAATCCCTTAATTGGAGTGAGTGGTGATTGAAGTAAAAAGTGCTAAACCTTTTGCACTTGTGGGCCTTGAGCATATGACTATTGCAACTGAAGGATACAGTCATAGATTGGTGTTGATAGGCCCATGAGTAGCAGGATGTCATGCTGGCGTGAAAGAGCGTCAGGAGCATTGTTTTGTGCACCAGGTCTATATTCGATAGAATAGTTATACCCCAACAGTTTCACCAACCACTGCTGTTGCGGAGTTGTGATTCACTGCTCCAGAAAATGTTTGATAGGTTGATGGTCAGTGAGTATTCGGAAGTGCTGGCCCAATAGGCACGGACACCAATGTTGCACCGCAAAGATTATTGCTAGCATCTAATTATCATACTGGAGAGGCCCATGGTGTGCTTGGACAGTGCCTTGCTAAGATAAGCAATTGGGTGACCTTCTTGACTCAAAACAGCCCTAATACCACTACCTGATGCATCCGTTTCGACAACAAATTGTTTGGAAAATTCTGGTAGGGCTAGCACTGGTGTTGAGGATAACATGTTTTTCAATGCGTTGAATGCGTGAATAGAATCAAGAGACCATGAGAAACTGCCCTGTTTCAGCATATTGGTTAAGGGCTTGGCGATGTCCTTAGTGTGGTTAAAAAGTGTATGGAAAATGGTCTTTAGATGGGAGATGTGACTAGTTAATGAAAGGCTATAAACAAGTATGTCATAAGAAAAGACTAAGATACATTTCCGTAAGTAAGGACGGAAAATAGAATTCATCAAGGATTGAAATGTGGTAGGTGCATTTGATAAGCCAAAGGGCATTACCGTGAATTCGTAGTGTCCGTCATGGGTGTGGAATGCTGTCTTGGCGATGTCCTTAGTGTTCATTCAGATTTGGTGGTATCTAGATCAAAGGTCCAGTTTAGAGAAAATAGTTGCGTCCTTCAGTTCGTTGAGGAGTTCATCCACCACTGGAATAGGAAAACTGTCTTTGATGGTCGCTCCGTTTAGGGCACGGTAATCAATACATAAGCGCCAAATGTCGTCTTTCTTTTTGACAAGGAGAACCGAGGAGGAGAAAGGGCTTAAACTTGGCCGTGTGACACCCGAGTTCAAGAATTCCTACACTTGTTTGTCAATCTCTGCCTTTTGGAAGTGTGGATATCGATATGGGCAAACATTGATGAGGTTTGTATTTGGAAGGAGTGGTATTGTATAGTCTATTAATCTTTTGGGTGGAAGGCCGACTAGGGGATCGAAGAGGTTTATGTATTGGTGGATGAGAGATAGAATGGCTGGGTGAGTATGAATGGGTGGGGTAAGTATGATATCGGGGTCGGGTATGGATGCTAAGAGGGAATATGGTTGTTTGAGTAAGTGGTCTACTCTGGAACAGGTTGGAAATAAGGAGGTTGAGGGTGTTAATCCCTGAAGAGTGTAAGTTTTGTTTCCTACTGAAAATACCATTGTCTTATGTTTGAAATGCCATCCAATGAATCCCAAGGATTCTAACCATTCTGCCCTCAAGATGAGGTCGCATCCGAGTATAGTTAGCAAAAGGAAGGAGTTGGTCAATGTATAATCTTGGATGTTGAGGGTCACACCAGTTACTCTTTTAGATACGTAACGGTTTTGTGAAGCGGTGGTAACCTTCACGGGTGTAATGTTTTCCACATGTAAGTTTAATTGATCAGCAAGATGTGGATTGAGAAAGTTACAGGTCGCTCCGGAATCAATAAGGACAGTGACAGGTTTGGAGGAAATGGACCCTTTTAGCCTCATTGGTCGGCCTATATTTATGCCTGGTATTGTGAACAACTCAAGCATGTAACAAGATGGGTCGTCGACCACCATGTCTTCCTCACGGAAATCATGGAACTTCGGGGAATCGTCCTCTGGTATATTAGTGTCGAGCAATACAAGAAGTGGGGATTTGCATTTGTGGGTGGGAGTATATTGTTCATGGCACCCAAAACATTTATTTTTGCGTCTTTTTTCCTGTATCTCCGCTGGTGTGAGATGCTTGAAAGGTCCAGTAGGCAGAGGTGGTTATCTTGTGGTGTTTGGTGGGGTTGGGTGGGGGATGGTGGAATGAGAGGTGGTGGTAAGGGTTACGTAATTGCGGGAAAATTGGGGTCAAATTGAACGTTTGGCTTGGATTTATGTTTCAAAAATTTTGGCCAATTTCTGAGCTTGATGTAATGATTCCGGTTCCAGAGCAAGAACATTATGGCGTGTGTCTTCTTTCAGACCACCCAAAAATACATGTTTCAACTGGTTTTCTGTCCAGTCAGTGACCTGACACGAAAGCCGTGTGAAATCTACCAAATAATCATCCATTGAGGTATTTTGCTGAATATGTGTGAGTTGGGACTCAATGTTGGCACGATCATCACCCCCGAAACGTTGGAGCATCATATCCACAAAGAGGCTCCAGTTGTCTCACCTATATCTTTGTTCAAATCCTCGTATCCAGATGGAAGCATCAGCTCCAAAATTGCACGCAGCCACAAGTACCCATTGATGGGGAGGTACCTCGTAGTAGTTGAGATATCGTTCTGCCATGGCTAACCAGCCATAGGGGTCTTTGCCATTAAACCTTGGCGGTTCCATTTTAATTGTTTTGAGGTGGGAATGTGTTTGTTGGGGGAGGTGGGTTGGTTATAATAGAGGCCCCAATTTGAGGAGGCGGAGCTCATCGAGGAGTAAGGATTGGAAGGCTGTAAATTGTGATGTCATGGTATTTTGAGAAGCTGTGTTGGATACAATCAATGCCTCCAGAGAGTTTTGGAGGTGACTCTGTTGGGATTCCAGTGTGGCGACTGAGTCACCCAAGTCGTCGACTTGGGTGTGGAGGTGTTCTTAACGCACGTCAGCTGCAGCAGCGACGGCGTCGGGGTCGGATGTGGTGGAGTGTGTGCTTTTGCCCATTAAACGATGGGCTCTGATACCAGTTGGTATGCCCAATAGGTTCAGATGGCTAAAAAAGGTAACTTGAATAGAAAAACAGTGCAGAAATTAAAGAGGAAAGGGAAGAAGAATTCGAGGAAAAGGAGGAAACTTTCATTCAATCATTCATAAGTTCTCTCAGCTCTCTTTATTACAATATATACTCCTCCTAAAAGGTAACCCCAGCTATATGGACCTCAAGGTAGGGCTGGTACAGGCCCACAACAAGAGAAGAAGTATCAGGCTCGACCTCAAGTAGCTGGGCTCAACATAAAAGGTCAAGCATTATCGAAGACATGGAAACTCTCGAAGAGGTCTCTTCCGCGAAATTGCACGCTTGAGTAGAGGTTTCGAATTTGTCAACATCCGAGGGCTAACTTTTAACACTATATCTTCAAATCCAGATGATTAGCACTTATTTTCGCATTTGGATATTGCGTTGAGCAGGTTGTCCAGAGAAGTGTGCTGCATCTCTAATTCAAAGCATGCCGAGTTTAAAGGCTAGTGCTCTGGGTTCAAAGCGTTTGGGTTGCATGGAAGTTTCACTCCTATACAATTAACTTCTAAAACAAGAAGATATTATTCGAATCATTTTGTCACTCCTTTATATGCTTTCTCAATTTTGTATACAATTTTTTCTTTTCATCCGCATTTTGTAATTGGATAATCGGAAGGCGTCCAAATTTCTGATTCATCAACTAAAACTGACACTCAACAGAAATTTAAAATTACCGACTACTTAGTCTAATGGTATTTCTCTTTTCAATGCCCCGATGAGGATCCTCCGCAATAACTATAAGACAAAAAAAAAAAAAAATAGCAGAAACGTAAAAGCCAGAAGCATAAAATGAGATCTACTAGTGGAAATGCAATATACCATCATATCAAATCAACGTACGCGGTTTTTCCTTTCATCCTTGAGCCAATAACGAATTACATGCACAACAAATCCTAGACAAAATCCAGCAGCCCCCACAGATACAACTATTTGAACCCATAAAGACGAAACAAATGCTTTCTCCACAAAAGCATTCCATGTCCAGAACCAAAAGATGGCGAAAATAGTTCCGAATGCAGCACCCACAACAATTTGACTGAGTGTATGAAGTTTTTGTGAGACTCGTAACCACGACTGCAAAGACAAATAATAAAGATATAAGCAATCTAAATCCCCTTCAGTTCTGTTTACTTCGGATCTACCATCTAGTAAAGGCATATGTTGCTTGTTCATTCTTTGCATGTCCAGCATTTATTGAGTTGAGAATAGATTTGCTCACCACCACACGTTAAACGTCATTGGATGAACTTAATTTCTGAGATTCGTGTAATGGATTATATTAAATCAAACTCATCCAATGACACATAATATTGTGGTAATGTTCACCATGGTGAGCAAATTTGTTCTATTGGGTAGGGCATCAACTGAAGATCTTGAACACTCAAGTATGTAGCTGAGCTTTTGACCAAAAAAAAAAAAAGTATGCAGCTGAGCTTCAAAGCATTATTTAACTGAAATCAACACACGATTGAATACTTACAAAATATGTACCAAACGCCAAGGCAAATGCAGTGACAGTCAGAGAAATCTCATTCATCCCTAGCCATTCCACAACTGCAATAGCAGCACACAGGTAAACAGCATTTGATGAGAAAATAGAGGTAGCAGATTGATATTTGACTGACAAAAACAAGAAAACTACATGCCAATTCTCATCAACACCAACAAAAACACTGCATGCCAGTTATTCTCATAAATTTCGTCCAGTTGCATTTCATGGTATCAGAGCTGAGACAAAGTCACACCAGAAAATCCCCTAAAGATGTACTCTTCGACATATGTTAAGAATTTACTAACTCCCTCATATCACAAAGATTGAAAAATGCGACTACAATCCCACATAGCTGACTCACTGTCTTCTGGAAAAATCCTCAAAATTTAATCTTCACGAAACATTAGAGATAAGATTTAAACGCATGCATCATCAATCTAATGACAGGTCATCTAATCCGTTCAATGATGAAGATCAGAAGACATCTTGACCCTTAGATGTGTCTAGATTCTAGTTGCTCGGCAGATGGCAATTGTTAGTGCCGTAAAAACTGACTATTTTCCCCTAAGTATTCCTCTGACCACAATTTGAAATTGTAAAAGTTCATAACTGTCATTAGCATCCTTCCCAATGACATTATGCTGCAAACTGCTCTATGAAACTTAAGGAAAGGATCAACAATGTATATTAAGCTCGCATTCCACGTCAACATGATTATAGTAGTTTACACCAATTGGCGTATTCTATCTTTTAAACATACATTTTTTTCAAGCAACAAGATATACTCTAATCTATGGGGAGGTGGATTCAACTTGAGTGCAAGAGGGCGGGGATTCTTCCGCTAAAAAGCATACAACATTCAGTTAACGGAGAAACACAATATTAAGAGGGATGAGAGAGATTACTTGACCAAATAGTGAACGTAACAATGTAGAAGATGGATTGTGCGTGGGAAGAAGGCATTCCGGGCTCAGCTCTCAACGACGGAATTGGCCTCTCCTGGTTCAGTATCCTTTTGAGTATAACAGATAGGATTGAATTTACAACAGACCCCATTGCAGCCCATATGGCTTCTCCGTCATGCCTCCATAGAATCACCACAGCAAATAAAGCAGATATTATCCACTTGCTCTGCATCCAACCCAAACCAATCCCTTAACATCATTCTAATTAAAATAAAACCCGACAACTAAGTTTTATACAAAAACACTTCGAGGTCGTGCTCTAATTAAATGAATTATTAGTACTACAGTATTGGATTTGAAGCGTTTTTCTATAAAGTGTAATGTTATCGAAGGCTTCTATGTAAAACACCCAATACTAAACATGAAACAGGCGATTTTACCAACCAGTCGATTGAGCTTCGATTCCAACCCATTATCCACAACCAAAGGACTCAACTCCGAAGTCCCATCAATGTAATCTTCACGATGAAGCTCTCCGCCGCCGTCTTCGCCATCGGCGTTTCGAAAAGGCAGCATCTTTATCAGCTCAACCATGGAGTTGGAACCCATGACTCTGCTCCTCTGCCCTGAAACAGCTTTCTTTGGAACAAACCCACCTGATGAATCCAGTTTTTTGATGGGAATTCTGGGAAAAGAAATGGGTTTCAGAGATTTGAGCCAACAAGAACGGCGGTGGAAGATTCTGAGATTTGGGTGGTGGAAGAAATTGGTGGCTGCTGATGGTGGCATGGTTTATTGATGGTGCGGGAATGGGGTGGGTAGGCTGAGAGCCATTTCTCAAAGCTTTTATGGTGGAACTGGAACAAGTAATAAATGAGTGGCGCATAGTAGCGTTGGGTAGTTTTACTCTGCTGTCTCTCGCACAACTCTCTTGTGTCTTACCTGGCAAGGTTTGCTGCTTAGTGTAGTGCAATATGAATTTGTTATTAGTTTAAATGGTGTCTTTGTTGGGCATTTGTTAGGTCTTGAGGCTCACAATCAAAATTAATATGGGTCTGAACGTACTACCGTTATCTTTGTATAACATATTGTTCTTTTTTGGTTATTAAATGGGATGATTACTTGCACCACAAGTTATTTAGACTTCTTAGTTCGATTGGATTGTTTATAGATGAGTTAAGTCTATATGAAGTTATTTTCTTGCCTTATAAACAAGGACTTTTACTCATTATATCATATATCCAAATAAAAGGAGTTCAGGGTCCTTCAAATTATTTCTTTGATTACGGTTAACACTAAAGAAGCAAAGTTAATTAGTTTAGCAAGATTAACCATAGATGAAACCTTGAACGAAAAGCAGTCGAAAATGATTTATGATACAATGAAAGATGCATAAAACAACAGATCTACTTTATGTAAGTGCAAACAAAAAAGACTCGAGTAAGAGTATGACCTTGTCAAGCAAGGTTTGTCTTCTTGCAACCACTTCTCTTTGTATTTTACATGGGTTGTAATCTATGGAGAATGAAATACAAATCGGGTTTACTAAAGGGATTCAATACTACAACACAGGGGAAAGGTAGCAGAGCTTCTAAAACTTGACAAAAAAATGGCTTTCTATGGTGAACCTGCGGCTAAAAATGATGAAGTTTGAACAAACTAAAGCTTTCTAGTTTCTTGCTTTGGATGTTTTTTGATTGATTGGTTGAGTGTCTTTCTTCCTTGTGTCTTTTGCTGCTTTTATAGACTCTTTAGCTTGACTGTCCAAACTTCCCCTTTTTGGCGATGGCCTCTAGAGCATGGTGAGTCATCGTTTATTAACCTATCCATGCCCTTGAAAAGTACTTTTTGCTGGTGGTGAACTGTCATTTGTCTGTCACTTCTCAAATAGGCTTGTTAAGCCACACAATGGGCAGCCTAATTTGATATCGAATTCGCCATTCACGAGATTTGAACCTAAGACCTTTCACTTCTAAGCAAAGAGTAATACCACCAGACTTGCAAATAACTTTTAGTTGACCTAATTCATAAACGTCTATATTTATTTACTTATATGGGAATTAAACTTAGAATAATGTGTTAATTGCAAGGCTAATAGTTTGGTTGGTAAGAGCATATCGTAAAAGAAATTTTTAGATTTCATATTAGATTTCTTACGTGGCATATAGTTTTGTGTATATCTCTATCGTCACGTAGTAACATAATTTCTTTTGTAAGAGCTTAACAACATTGCTTGGTAATAATAACTTGATAAAATTGAGAATAGATCATTTTCAACATGAGAATATTTATTCATTGCTTTCTTTTCATTATAAGCGATAGTACTTGTTGATGCACAAAACCGGAGGTCTTGGAACAACGCAAATCTGACCGTGAATCTGCAAGAAAGTAAATAACACAAGATGTATCGTGGTTCACCCCAAGGTTTGCTTTGCTCTAGATAGGAGAGACTTTGAGAGGGGGTGAGAGGGCCTAGGAATTGGCCTCCCCCCTAATTATGAGGGTGAGGAGTCATTTTATAGAATAAGGGCTCCTCACTTATTACATATTTGCCCCTTCCTTTATTACATTATTACATTTGAGTCCCTTGAGTATTTATACGAGGTCTAAATACGAAGGCCCTAAGTATGGTATAAACAGTAGTCCCCCAAGTCTTCAGTCAAGAGAGTCTTTTGGCTGGAGACTTGAAATTCAGTCCATGTGTGGGCCGAAGTAACTAGATGTTGTCTTGAACTGATGCTCGATATGAGGCAGTGCTCAATCTGAAATGATGCTAAACTAGAAGTAGCATATGCTGCGAGGCTGCTCGGCTCGTGGCTTATGTTGCCTTGGTTGGCTCGGCTTGTGGCGTTTAAAGGTGAGGGAGTCCCTTTTATAGAATAAGGGCTCGCTCCTCAATACATAAATATGGGCTAGAGTTGATGCTCGCGGCGAGGCGGTTGCTCAGTAGGCGGCGATGCTCTCTAATGATGGTGAGGGGGTCCCTTTTATAGAATAAGGGCTCGCTCCTCAATACATGAATAACGAGCTAGAGATGATGCTCGCGGCGAGGTGGTTGCTCAGTAGGCGGCGATGCTCTCTAATGGTGGTGAGGGAGTCCATTTTATAGAATAAGGGCTTACTCCTCAATACATAAGTGATGGGTGCTCTCTAATGAAAGTGAGGGAGTCCCTTTTATAGAATAAGGGTTCGCTCCTTAATACATGAATAACAGGCTAGAGTTCGCGGCGAGGCGGTTGCTCAGTAGGCGGCGATGCTTTCCAATGGTGGTGAGGGAGTCCATTTTATAGAATAAGGGCTCACTCCTCAATACATAAGTGATGAGTGCTCTCTAATGAAAGTGAGGGAGTCCATTTTATAGAATAAGGGCTTGCTCCTCAGTACATAAATAATAGGCTAAGTCCCCCAAGTATTTTTCATGAGGCCTAGTTGAGGCCTAATATATGGTGTATAGTGTAGTCCTCCAAGTCTTCGGTCAATAGAGTCTGTTGGCTGGAGACTTCAAATTGAATCCATGTATGGATCGAAGTGGTGGTTGTTCGGAGGCGGTATTTGTATACCCTGCACTGAAGCTTTGTAGGTGAAGCTTTGCAAGTGAAGCTTTGAAGCTGAAGCTCTGTAAATGAAGTTTTTGAAGCTAGAGCTTTTGTGAATGAAGCTTTTGAAGCTGTAACTCTGTAAATGAAGCTTTTGAAGCTAGAGCTTTTGTGAATGAAGCTTTTGAAGCTGTAACTCTGTAAATGAAGCTTTTGAAGCTAGAGCTTTTGTAAATGAAGCTTTTGAAGCTGTAGCTCTGTAAATGAAGCTTTTGAAGTTGTAGCTCTGTAAATGAAGCTTTTGAAGCTAGAGCTTTTGTAAATGAAGTTTTTGAAGCTGATTGACATGAGTGATGCTCATGGATGTTGACATGAGTGATGCTCATGAATGTTTATGTATGATTGATATGAGTGATGCTTATGAATGTTTATGTATGATTGACATGAGTAATGCTCGTGTATAATTTGAAGTACTGGGTGTACTTTTGATCACCTGGTCGGTGGTAATAGCGGCAGGTTTCCGAATAATTTTGGAGTACTGGGTGTACTTTTGATCACCTGGTCGGTGGTAATAGCGGCAGGTTGCCGAATAATTTTGGAGTACTGGGCGTACTTTTGATCACCTGGTTAGTGGTAATAGAGGCATGTTGCCGAATAATTTTGGAGTACTGGACGTATTTTTGATCGCTTGGTTGGTGATAAGTAAGTGGGTGTCTGGTTAGACAAGAGATCACCATGATCACGTGGCTCCTCGGTCTATAAGTTGGTAGACTTCTTTAATCAGCAACAATGTTGATCAGTGGATCTAGTTGCTCAATAATTTCTGACAATAAATGACAGTATAAGTACGATCGTATAATGAATAAATCAAATTGACAAAGTTTGTCAAGGCAAAGTATTGTACTATGTGCTTTCTATGAATAAATGATTTATTTAGTTGTGTGGTAAATCACATGTTATATAAATCAATAACGTGGTAGTAATCATGTGATATCAGAAATAATAATTATATTATTTAATCATAAGTCATCATGACATAGAAATAATAAAATTATTACTTTATAATTAGTCATCATGACACAAATAAAATAATAAGATATTAAATAAACAATAATATTGAGAAAACATAATGATGTTTCTTTCATGACCGACAATATCAAAGTGAAAAGTAGACACTTCATAATAAAAGTGCTCTTATCTTGAGTTTTACCGTGGCTTTTTTCTGTTAGACAGATGCATAATGGGTATATATTATACCCTGTAATATTAAATAATAATATTTGTAATAGCTTTTCAGAAAATGGGATGCATGATGAAAGTTTCATCCTTTTTTTATCAGAAGTTGGTGGGACAGATGGATAAAGGGTAAACTTTATCCTACCATTTTAAATATAGAAGCTAGAAATGATTAAAGATAGGTAATAGAATATATAATAAACTATTAAATAATAATATTTGTGAGGAAACTTATCTTCCTTCTGGGTCTTCCCCTGTAAGCCCAGTCACCGAAGTGCTTGGGATCAACCTTTCCCCATAGAGATTTTGGCTCGCCAGTGGGCTCGAGTCGGTGGTCAACACCAAACTCGGAGTTAGCACGGTTCTTGTAGCCCGAATATCTGCTCTCGAATGGCTTGGAAGAAGTGGCCAGGATCAGGGTCCACATAGTGAAGCTCGTTGTTGAAGAAGAAACGCTTGGAGTTGGGGTCGGTGGTGGAGAGATAAGCGCAGGTCCTTAAGTCGTCGGTGAACTTGACACTCGGCATGAAGTCGCCGACAAGAACATTCTTCTTCTCGACCAACTCCATGTCGAACATGTACGAGAAGGACTTGCAGTCGAGGACGGCGATGATCTGCGGCGGGGACAGTCTGGCGAGTCAGATCTCGGAGCAGCCGACGACCAACTCCATGTCAAATAGGTACGAGAAGTTCGTGACTACTGGATCACTTTCTGCAGTCCTAGCTTTATATCTTCTCCTCTCTTAAGTTCATCGTCGTCTCGGAACGTAAGATATCCTGCGTTGTTCAAGGCTGTGTAGAGGAGGTCGGTAAAAGTCTTGCGAGTTTCTTTCTTAAAGATGGCAGCGCGACGACTCTGCTGAGCCTCCTGTTGTTTATGCTGCTTGCCCAAGAGCTTTTTCTTCAGCCTTGTGTTCCAGTAGTTCTTAATATCGTTGTCCGTTCGCCCTAGTAACTGGGCTGCAATGATAGACCACCTGCTTCCAATACTCATGTAGAGGCTGCAAATGTTATTATCTTCTTCCTCTGAGAACCTGCCGTGCTTGATATTCGGCTGTAGATAATTCAATCATCTAAGTCGACAGCTTTTGCCGCACCT